TGTTGACTGATGTTGATGAAGTATCTAGTTTCTGTTCTTCCACTTATCGAGCTGAATTTTGTGTATGTGTGTGTGCTATTTTCTCTTTGTTAACGCATAGATAAATTCGTATTAATTTTTAGCCTCAAATTGTAGTTGGTAAAAACAGTTACGATGTAAGAGCTCAAATAAAATTTTGTTGCGAGAATTGTCAACACTGACATCATCATCATCATTATCAAGAAGCGCAGCGCTTGAGGCGGAGTTAAGTGATTTGCTTATTATTTGGCTCAAAGGCTGAAGCGACATTCATTAAGTACACATAAATCCGTTTTGATGAGTTAAGCTAAATTTATCTTTCTCAAAGTATTTTTAATTTTTAATTCTCATGAGCATAATATTGTTAGCACAAGTAACTTTTACTGATTCATAGTCGCTTTTTGAGTAGACTGAAAGTATTTATTTGGTGTGACTGTGATGTAAGCTAAAGAAATTTGTTTCGTTGTGTTCATTTAAACTGTGCGCCGAAAATGCTTGTTTCTAAGTTTGCCTGAAATTTGACATTAAGCCGTATTTGACAGCCCTTTGTTTATGTAATTTAATCTAGTGGATGGCTGAGAATGATTTAAGCATACTTTAAGAGCCTTCTTTGACGGAAACGAAAGAAATGGAGGCTGTAAAATATTCAGCGAGTTTTCTGTGATCGTAAAGTATTTGCTTTAAGGAGTTGCGCATCAACTTGTGAATTTCGAAAAATCGAAATGTTGTCATTAGGCTGAAGTAGTTTGCAAAAAGATCAGAAAAAAGAGCTCACAACTGATGTACCTAAAGATGAAATATAATATCTATAAAATGTAGTGATTTACCACTTATTTTACTAGAGTCGATTTTTCTTGTTGAAAAAGTTTTAGTTTCCGAGACTTTAGTCATAAAAATTAATTCGATGTTGAAATTGATGATAATCGGTTAATTTTAGAGTTTATATAACAGGCGTAGAAATTTTTATTGGTCATTGCCATAGTTTTGCTGAAAATAAAACTTCTTACTTTAAAAGCAAGCACAATAATTAATATCTATAATATTTCAAAATAAGAGTACACGTTAACTTAAATACGTATGTCAACTTAAACCAAAAAGTTATTGAGTCCAGATCATAATTTAGCTAAGAATACAGCGATAACACAAAGCATTGTCAGGTTTTCTCGTAGCCTTTGATCATATATGTCTATGGCTTGAGCATTTGCTAATGGTTTTAATTGAGCTATAATTAAAAAAAAATATTTTCTTTATTGGATTGGAATTTCACATACCTTATATCGATGATGTATATTTTTTCAAAACAAAGAATGTTTTAAATGTTTTTTCATAAGATTCGCATAAAGTAATACCTTAAGAAGTAACAAGTTGCTTGTATGAAATGGACTTGTGAAACACTTTGTACCTGTCAACAGTCGATGCAGATAATGTTCAAAGAACTGTGGAACTGTTGAGACTCTATGTACTTATTATTGAATGAGTACCCTCATTAGGATATTAGAAATGTGTCAAGTCACAGGATAGTCGATACTTATGCCTGACTACCCGTTTCATATAAAATTCGATAAGTTAAGAATTAATAATTATATAAGTTAAGTATCTCCGAAATTCAATTTTAATTTTTTTTTCCGCATGGTGCAGTATTCCATGAAACATTTCCTACTGGATAACGCTACCAACTGAATATACCGTTTTACTTTAACAGCGGAAATTTTATATTGCTTGCACATAAAATCAAATCTAACGGCAACAACGTCATTGGATATACTCTATATATATGTATGGTATGTACACCAAAAGCAAAACTAACTGACCAGCCAGAGTGGTTAAATGCATGGTTGCCAAAGCTGCTACAAGTCAATCGAACGACGCGCTCATCTAAGTACATACATCCAGATATGGCGTATATACTTGTATATATGTACATGCATGAATCTATAAAGTTTCACATAGCGAAAAATAAAATCGCTTGCACACGCTTGGTAATGCTAGCGGAAGTGAAAAGTCTAGGTGAATAAGCAAGGACAGCTGCAGCTGCCGATAATGCTAGCAACTGATAGCTTAGCATAGCTGCAAGTAGTTTTGTGAAGAGTTAAAGCGTTCCGAGTTTCAAGCTGCAACGACAGACAGACAACGAAAACTAACTAGAAACAAGATGTAAAGCTGCTCATGTTTCCGTTTAATAAATTTTATGTCATCGCACTCTGGAGAGCACTAATATCTTTACACATATATTTTATATGCAAGTGGGTGGATACATGAGTGAAAGTGCAAGATTGGCTGATGGTGGCTAAAACCCAATTGGCGAAGTGATGCGAAATCTTTTCTAATCCGCTTGTAGAACAATCCTACCGACGTTGGCCAAGTGAATCCGAAGTGGGTGAGCTTCAAAGTGCGCGGGTTTCGGGACTACCACTGAGCGCCATGCTGCCGCGCCGTCATCGATCAATGCTGCTGTCATGTGATGGAGTTGCCAGATTTGCGCTTGTCTGCTCGTTCGTTCGTTTTGGGATGTCCTCCCCAGTTGTACGGCCGTTGATGGCTTTAGCTGTCGGTTTTTCTCCGCTGACTGTCCGCTGGTTGAGCAGCTTGTCAGTTTGTCTGCTTCACGCTGTTAAGCTGCTCCACTGGCTGGCTGCCGGGCAGCCTATCTGTTAGGTTGTCGGTCTTTGCCCATATGTTTGTGTTGTGTGACACATGCCACATTTATGGCCGGCTTGTAAGGCGAAGGCGGGCAAGCGATGTTATAGGCAGTGATAGTCTCCAGCGAATCAACTCGTAAAAACGCTGAAATATGTTTGTTGCAAAAGCATGAGTGACAGCCAAAAACAAACTTAATATATGGCGTTTGAGATACGACTATAATATGTTTATATAAATAAGCAGCATGACAGCGCTTTTTTTCCCACTCGCCTATTCGCTCACCCACCACTTGCACCAGCTCGCGGCGCGACTCTCATTTACCCTGCATTGCGCGCTTTACCCGTCCGCTTGGCTGCTTCATGAGCTCTTTTCGAGTTTAAGACTTTGCCATTGGCGTGAGTTCTCATGCCTGTCGAATTCTTAAAACCATGTCATTAACAATATTTTATGCCGTAAGTTGTTGACGCGATATTACAACAAAGTCAATCATGCTTTGTTAGCGGCGTCAGCATCGTCATTGTATGTAGTGAAGAGCAAGTAATATCGCTTAAAATTTTATTAGAACATGAACACACCATCGACAAAGATTGTTACGGAATCGATTAAAGAGAAATAGCAAGCAACTGTCAGGAAAATTAAGAAGAAACGCGTGAGCAAAGATTTTTAAGGCTAAAATATATTAGTTTGGCGTCAGTTCACTAAATAGTAGATAATAGTCTATATGCTTGAATCGGAAATTAAAATTATGTTAGTGCTCCGCAGCGCAATATTTAAGAAGACTTAATACAAAGTTCATGAAATTAACTTAAACTACGCCGCTATAAAACGCGCATAGATGCGTTAACACGAGCCGGAGCAAAGCCTGTCACAAGGATCCTATCAAAGAAGCCAATGAATGTTAATAAAAATTCTTGGTGGAGGAAATTTTTATACAAGAATAATAAGACAACCGGCTACGCCTAGTATAAAGACAACGCAAATATAGCAACAAGAACGAGCGCGCAAGCAATAACCGAGCTGATAATATTATTGCGCTATTAATGCGCTTATGTTTATAGCAGTTTTTATCGCTTTTTGTTTGACAAGAAATGTTTTATGAGAGTTCAACACACAATCACCCTACCGACTGCCACACTGCGTATGAGTAATGCTCCACAGTGATGAGTGTTTATTGCTTTTATTTTGTCGCTCTGCTTAACAGCTTGGTAGTTGCTGCTAATTGCGTGCATTTCTAATACTGCCGCAAAGCGGAAGCCAAATAAATAAGGGTGGAAGAGGGGAAGAAAGAAGCGAAGTAGAGCCTGAAAAAATTAAAAAGTGAAACCAACCAAAGGAGTGAGTACAAAAGTTCATGTTTAGCCGTGAGTGACAAGCGTAATTTAGCGCAACTCCACCGCGAAAGAGAAGAAACAACCTGAAACTGCACGGCGGATAGTGCAAGCGATGGGCTACACTTTTGCTTATTTGCTGCTGCTGTCTCGACATTAGCTATTAAGAACACGTGGCTTAAAGGAAAAGAGCAATCGCAAAAATGCGACTGTCAGCAGAAAATTGCATATGTCACACGCATTTCAAGAGCCGCAAAACGAAAGCGGTGAAAAATCTAAACAAAGGCGAAGAAAGAACTTAAAGCGAGAAGAGCGAAACATTTGCAAATCCACTGCCACTTTTCGGGACAGCAACATACCGCCGATGACAAGTGAAAAGAGAATGAAAAAGATGCTCACCAAAAATAATAACAACACATGTGGGCGACAGCAAAGCAGCCAAATCGCCATAAGCTGAAAATCCCCGCAAAATTGCATTTGCTTTATTGTTCTTTGCATTCGCAAAAATCGAGATAGTTTTGCCACATGCAGAGTATAATAATAAAAATATTCCAAGCACTTAGAATTGCTATGGTAGAATGTGAGAGGCCAAATGCGTTTATCATACATAAGTGCGAAAGAGGTTAGCCCAAATCTACCAAGTGAATCTGCATTTTTTCGAAGGTCGAACTTCTCTACTAAAATAAACGTTTTTTGGTTCTAAACGATAAATAAAAAATATTATTTTGACGATTTATCGAAATTCGAAAAATTTCGAAAGTTATTGTTATTAATATTTTTTTGGACGATCTTGGAAAACATTTATTTTCTTTTAACGGATCGAATTAATTTATATTCTTATATATTATATTCATTATGAATGAAAATGTCCACATTTATTTGATATTATTAATTTACAAAAAAAAGGTTTTCCAACTCATTCGCACTTATTCACAGATTTTAACAAATTATACTTAATAACTTTTTACGTAAATATAGGTTTTCGGATTACAAACGCAAGACAATAAAACTTACTTGATTTTTTACGGTGAAGATCTCTATATGCTCAGTCAGTTTTGAAAACTCTCACAGAATGCAGTTGCCACTGGAGCTGGAATAAATTAATGTATAATATTTAGTTAATATCCACGTATTATATATACACATATATATATATAGCATATGTCATGCTTGAGTCAAAGTTTTCAAACGTTTCCTAAACACTTATGCTTTCGTATGAATAATAAACCTTTCTTATATTGAAAAGATGAGACCACTTCTCTAATGCTTGTTGTTATTGTCCACTTGCGAGTCATACACGTACAAGTAACTTGGGCGACACTAAGTAGAACTAAACAGAATCACAGGTATGTTATATAGTAGAAATTTATACATATGTATATATATAATATTTTTGAGATGTCATGAGATATATAAGACATACAACAACAACTAGCAACATGCATATGGCAGAGCTAGCAACTCAAGCAATTTTAGGTCAAATTGACTTTGGGCCACTTCCAGCGGAATGTTGCGGAAAAAGACAAGGATGAAAACATAACGTTTAAGAAAAGCCGAAGAGAGAGAGAAGAAGAGGATAATGCATGTAACAGAAGCAAGAGAAATATTGCAGAAAATACTAGCCACTCGCTATATGTGCTACGCCAGGTTATGTAACCATGTTGCTGCAGCGCACAATATCGGTGAGTATTCGCTTGTGCGTGTAGATTTTAAAAATCGGTAAAATGTGTGTTTGTGTGCATTTGCTTAGCAGTCAGCTTTTGTGTGCAAGTATTTCATGTGTGAAATGGTCCTGCTAATGTAGTAGCACACACACATACACAGATGCACTTAAACGCTCACATGTTTTACCATTTTCCGCATTGTTGACTCACAAAAGCCAACACCAACTACAACCAGATTCATTGTATTACATGCTCATTCGTAGTAAGAGCGGAGATGCTTCGAACGATAGCCCTGGCGATTTGGCGTTTGCTTAGCTCGAATTCGAAAGGCGGAGCGCACTTCAAGCGGCCACTGATTGTCGTTTTCTGCCACTGGAGAGCAGCTGATGTAAGAAGAGGCGAGTATTCTTAATATTTGGACAAAAGAAAGGAAAGTTCGCATGCCATCTCTACAACTGTGCGGAAAAAGTTCGATCAGGCACACATATTTACGTACATACTCGTACATGTGGCAGGTATAGAATGAAGAAGAATGTAGAATAAGAAGAATAACGAAGTGGTAACTCTAGAATATACATCCTTTACATCTGTTAGTTTTCATCAAATATATATATGAAATCGTAAGCTTATCGTAAATTCAGCAGCTTACCAGCTCCAATGAAATTAAGTCGAACAATGGTTTTTTGTTTTTTTTGTCCAGCAGCGTCTCTTTGTTCTGTGTATCTCTCGTAAAATTGAAACAAAAAATTGTTCCAAAAAATGTGAACTGCTTTATACATGCTAACTCAGCATGCGGTGGAAATAAAAGTAGAAAATAAAAAATGTAAGAGAGACTCAGTCAATAAGACTACTGGACGAGAGTTATTCTAACAACAACACATGATTAAAACAAATTTAAAAACAGCTATAATACCCTTCACAGGTACATTTCTTATAGCATAAAAGGGCATTAGGAAATCTTTATCTTGATTAACGTCAGTAAGTTTGTAGAGCAGCTATATGCTGTAGTGACCCGATTTGAACAACATGTTCGGACATATTAGCCAAAGTTCGTGGAAATATGTAGATTGTTTTTGATATCTCGTATTTTGCAACCTTATTGCTGCAATCTGCCAACTCACAACCTAATCGTAAAGTTTGACATTTTTGATGTTTAACATACTCAGAACGTTTTGACATACGAGCAGTGTTTGTATTGTTTACAGTAAATAACTAATATATATTTAAATATTAAAAATATAAATTAAAATATTCATCTCGCCTAAAAAATATAATTAAATCGCAAATATATTCGCGCGATTATCTTTTAAACTTTGGACCTGTATTAACTCAGCAACAGTGAATCCATGAACTTAGTTCCATCTTTGGCGATAAAGCTACATCAAGCAACAGTGTTTATGGATGTTATGGTGAATACAATCGAGCTTGTAGATCTCTCAAGAAAAATGTCGTGAAGGTCGTCCAAAATCAGTTATTGTTCCGGAAACTATTGTTCACGTTGAGTCCCACATAATTAGACAATCGCTTAAAAAAAGGCTCGTGTCGAAATACGACAGCAGTGCTTCGATGTGGAGCATGCATTTAGAAAAACTGACCATGTCGCAACCATACCACTAGAAAAACGCAGAACTTTAAATTCTGAGTGGAACACAACCGTTTTTTAGCCAGTTTTCTTTTAAGAAATCAGGAAAATCAACCGCCGAAGACAGATCACTCTTCACCACGACAATGCGAGCTCTCACACATTTACTGAAACAATTACATATTTGAGCACTCAAACCGCCGTATAGTCCTGACTTGGAATTGAATGACTTTTTTTATTTCCGTACATAAAAAATAAACTAAGAGGTCAACGTTTTTGCACACCTGCAGAGGCGGTTGATGCATTCCGAATGCATGTTTTGGAGATACCTCAATCAGAGGGGCCAAAGTGCTTCGACAAATGGTTAGAACGCATGCTAAAGTATATAGATATTAAAAGAGAATATTTTGAAAAACAATAAAGCGATTTTCGATTATTAATATATATTTTGTTCCTTAAGCCGGAAATATAAAAGGCAACGCTCGTATCTGGTCAAATTAAAAAATTTTCCATAAAAGAACTTCGCGTGTGCAAAATTTCAAATAAATATAAAAAACTAAGGGACAAGTTCCCGTATATAGAGACGGACGGACAGAAGACCATTGTTAAAGCAAATAGCTCACCACGCTGTTTATTTATATCTACTCTAGTAAATACTTTAGAGGGTCATCGACGTTACCTTCTGGGTATTTCAAACTTCGTAGCAAACTTACTTGGTATATTAGGTTCAGAGTATAAAAAAGACCGAGACGAGAAAGTTTTTCGTCTTTAATATCATGGCAACCAAATAATAAATTAAAATAATTTTTGATCAAATTTTCCTAAATATTCTTCTTAAGTAACTTGAGTATCCACTCTCCAGGTTTCGCTATAGATGCTCTAAAAATTTCTACAATTCTCCTAATTTAACAAGCTATGCAGTTTAGATATCTATATAAATAAAAACGGTCTTATTCTAAAGCTCAACTTGAAGATCTTTTATTTGATATTGAGCCCATTCATGAATTGAACAGATAGTACAGGGTGCCTTTCAGAGTCACTAGAATAAAAACATAAAACGATTAAAATGATAAAACAAATATCTTAGTATCTCCAGCGACTCTAAAACCCTTATTGTAAAAATTTAGGCAAATATTTAAAGAGTACACACAAGCATCTATTTAATTTCCGTCTCTATACTTGGCACATTTGCATTAAGCAGGCAATAGACGCACACATACTAAAACACTTTGTGCGATATGCTGCTTAACTTTGTCTTATGCAAATCCAACAGGTTATGGGCTTTTAATGGTTAATACTTGAGAAGATTTTTTAAGATTTTTAAATACTTAACTTAGTACTTAGCGCTTTTTTGGCATAAAAGCAGCAACAGTTAAGACCAACAATTGCTCTTTTACGACTTTGCCCTCCACGCACACACACACACGCCAGCCACACATAGACACTTACTTTTTAACCTCGCGCTCAACCATCGCTACCCACATCAGCGCCACCATCATCAGCGTCATCATCGCAGCTAAACTTTATCACTTGAGCAATGCTTTTAATCGCATTATTGCCGTTCTTTGCTTGAGGTGAAATTGAAGCTATTTCCATATCCATTTTAATTTTAATTTTACCGCCGTTGCCTTTTTGTTGTTTGTTTTATAATTTTTTTTTTTTTTGTGCACCTTGTCTCTCAAATCTTATTTCATTTTATTTTATTTTGTTTTGTTTAATTTCGACGCCCTTGTATATATTTACACCTGCCACGGAAAGTAAATTCAAATAAACCATAAATTCCCATTAACGTTCTTTAAATGCCACATTAAAATTGGCTGGTGACCCTGCCTTCGCTCCGTGTGCTCCGTTGCCGTCCTCACTGTCGTTCAAGTATAGCTATCTGTTGGGCAATTGTTGGGTTGCAGTTACGAGTATTTGCGGCATCGCAATTTCCGGTGTAATTTATGTGACCTTTTCGGTCACACCGCGCTCTTCCCCTTTCGCACATGTTATTGATTATACTTGCGAGGTGCTTTCGTTTTCGAACACTCAAAGTCGCATAATAGCGGTCTTAATGCCTAAGTTTGTTGGCACTTTTCATTTGTTTAGCGCTTTTCGTTGTTGTTGTTGGCGCCATAGCACATTTGGCTTTACAGTAATTTTATGCCTTTAGTAATTTGTATATTTTACAGAAGCGCCAGTGTGTGTGGTGTTTCTGTATGGGTGGGTAAGTATGTGTGTTTGTTTGCGTGTGCATATATTTGCTTAGCTATATCAATTACGCACTGCGTTTAGACACTTAATCTGCATAGCAAGTACTCCTGGGAAGGCGAGGAGAGGGAAACTGTGCACACTCTGAGTAGTTGTATTTACACTAGTCAACAAAATATCGTAATTATTAATATACTTGATTGATAGTGACTTAAATATTGGCCCCATCTTATAGTTCTACTTCTCCTTTTACATATTGCATACTAAAATTTTAAATTAATATTTTAAATATTTTTTGAGCAATAACCTACTAAAATGTTCCCGCGCGTTTTACCTAAAACTATAATTTTTAAATTGTCTGTAAATTGCCACGAAATTTGTTACTCCCAGAAGGCAACGTCGAAGGCCCTATAAAATATACCTAAACAAATGATAAGCCTGACGAGCTGAGTTAATCTAGCCATATCCGTCTCTCTTTCTGTGTATATATATATAGGCAGAGGCAAAGTAGGGACTAGCGTTTTTGAGATATCGACATGAAATTTTGTACACGTTATTTTCTCGTAAAAAAGCTGACTGGGCGATCGATATCAGACTATTATAGCATATAACTACCCTACACACTGAACCATCAAAATAAAACTCTTGTAT